AAGTGGTCGCTTGTAAGAGGTGGTCTCTCTTCAAATGTTTGCACACTGGAGAGGATTGGTGTTCTGTGGCCTGTGCAAGTAGTTGCTGATGACTGGTGGTTTCTCTTCAGACGTGGTCACATTTACAAAAGCATGTTGTTATGGGAAGTGTTGCACACAGGTCATTGATGGATGTGTAAGCCTGTGATGTCCCTTCTACTCCAAACAAAGCTGTGCTTTCATAGAATCCATATAAAATCACCCCTCCTTGAGGTCTGCCTTGTTAACAAAATGCTAATTCCAAAACTACATCCATGAAACTCCAGGCAAAGCCTTTGTCTCAGGTTTCAATCCCCCTATTTCTCCTAGTCTAAGGCATCTTCCCTGATTTGCTTGCACTTGGGGTTCCTTCTCTCAGGAGCCATCTTCCCCAAACCTAAATTTGTCTCTGCCTGAGGGCCACACCCACCTTCTTTATAGCTGAACCAGTGAGTCAGCAAAATCCACTTAACACTTTCCAGCAAGATGATGACCTGCTTATATGTTGTGGTTCTTCTTCAAGTGCTGGTCCCTATGTGTATTCCACTGTGGGGTACTGTCAGCACATCTGGGTGTGGCCTATGTAGGGGTCTAAGCTTCTCTTAAGTGGCCCTCTTCACTTTGTTTCCAATCTGATCAATTCCTGAACGCACACCTTAAACTGAGTCTATCAGCCCTTGAATTCCAGAGTTGCAATCTCCTTCTGCTTCCCGGTTGCTTTCTCAGAGGCAGCCTGGTGCAGGGTTGTAGTCCCTTTGGTGTATCAGGTCTCCCTCTCCCGCTCTGTTCTCTCCCCTTTATAGCTGGTCTTGTTTTCTCTGTTGGCCTCAGCTGTGGGTGCCTGTCTTAAGGATTGGCAGTTCTGGCAGGTGTGTGGGGGTGTGATCAAGTTGCTTGCTTGTAAGCAGGAAAGACTCCTCTCCCTTCTGCCTATGCTCAGTATGGGGTTTGTAAACCCCTTTATAGGTACACATGTGCTCCATAGGCCTGGGGCCAGAAGGATCTTGCAAGCAGTGTCTGTTGGTCCACACCTATGCCCTTATCTCCGTATGCATCATACCTAGGGCATAAAGGGTGGTGCAGAACACCGGCCTTTCCAGTTCCTATTTACCGCTACATGGTTTGAGAGAGAATCCTCCAGTGTCTGGAGCTGATTCTTTCTCCTCATTTAGTAAATATTTTTTTAAAAATTCTTAACGTTTGTATATAGTTTTGTAGAGTTTTATCAGAATAGTTAGTTGTCTGTATCCTCACTGCAGGTAATTCTCCCTGCCTCCCTGGTGCAGGGTTTAGATTTGTGCCCCAGTTATCAGGGTTTGAAAACTGCATCTTCTGTCCTTGCTCCTTTCCAATCAGTGGTGACCACAAATGCTGCTTTTGCTGCCTTGGAGATTCCTGAATCTCCTCCATGTGCAGTATCTACTGCTCTTTTCCCAGCTGTACCCAGCAGGCTTGAGAACCCTGTTTAGAAACACCAATCCTCATTAGGAAGACTGAGACCATCGCGTCAGGGACTCTGAAAGAAGTCCACCCCCATCTCCTGTGCTAGCAACAGTATTGACTTCACCACTGATGAAAATGGACCCAACTTTTTCATTGTCGGGGGAATTGGATGTACTGGAAGATAGGTCCATCAATGGTATTAGCCAGGATGGGCAGGGATGGTGTCTTTAGCCTCTGTTTGCCAGAAGCTGTGAATGGACAACAGGGGATAGATCACTTGATGATTGTCTGTTCTGTTCATTCCCTCTGAAGCACTGGGCATTGTATCCTGTTTGAAGACAGGATACTGGGCTAGATGGACATTTGCTCTGACTCAGTGTGGCCATTCTTATGTTCTAAGTTTCCTGCAAATGTCAGCCTGTCTGCCTTGAATCAGACAATATACTTTCCTTTGTTTCCTTTGTTTTTCCCAAAGCCTCACATCTCTGATGAATGAAGTCTCTTCTGTTCCCTGTGTGTGAGATGTGCATTAGCTTTTTTACCTGCAAAAAAGGAAAATGATCAGAAAGTCACTGACATTATTCATTGCTGTAGCGGAACAAATGAGAGGACAACCTTCATCCCGTCAGAGGACCTCTAAGTGCTGTATCCCACTTTATTAGTGAGTGCATCACCACCACACAGGGCGAGAGCTCACCCCGCCTGAGCAAAAGCAGCCTCGGTAGCCTCACTTCATGAGTGGCCTTACTTGACATTTGCAGAGCAGCAATGTGGAGCTCTATTCATATGTTCACGAGACGCTACACCCGAGTTCAAGCCTCCAGAGATGAGGCATCCTTTAGGGTGGCGATCCTATATGCATCTATCTTGCCTGCTCCTTCACACCCTCCTTCTTACCTGAGCGCTGCTTGTCAGTCACCAATGTAGGGACAAGCACTCAAAGAAGAAAGGGAAGTTACTCAACTTATTGTTACTGGAGTCTTTGAGATGTGTGGTCCCTATCTGTATTCCATTAGCTGCCCCTCTTTCCCCCCTGTTTCAGATCTTTAAATGATTTGTGGTAGAGAAGGAACTAGAGAGGTGGTCAATCCGCACCATCTATTACCTCCTCTTGAAGGAGGAGAGCAAGAGTGCAGGTGCAGACCGATGGACACTGCTTGGAAAATTCTTCTGGACCCTGGTGCATGGTGCACATGCGTACCCCACAGTGAAATACAGATAGGGACCACACATCTCAAGAACTTGTTCCAATAAGGTAAGTAACTTCAGGCAAGCATCATTAGCCTGTTACAGGACCTCAGATTTAAAAACACAGAGGACAGAAACCACTGGAAGCAAAGAATAATTAACTAAGTGCCTGCAGAAGGGTCCTGGTTCAAATGCTGGGCAGCATCATGCTGTAAAAAGAAGCATGTGCAACAGGGTCTGGTGCTATGGCTGTGGTGGAGACGGCCTGGAAGACTGTCAGGATTTTCCAAAAGCTACAAGAAGAGTCAACCAAATCTATGGCCACAGAGAGGGTTGATGGATATCTGCCAGCTACCATTGTTTTGTCTGCCCATAAAGACACTTCTCTGTATTGACAGGTAAAGAGGGATATGTGGCCAGCACTGTTTCATGTAGCTATTTAACACTTAAGCTGTCTCCCCTTAAGTGTTTACTTCAACTGTCTTTTTAGCACATAAGGTGCTTTATGCAGTTACAGGCATACCTCTCTCCCCACAGGCGCTGTCTTCATTAAAATGCACACATGCCTGAATCCATGTGATTACTAAAGCTAGGCCATTCAGCTGGTGCTAGTGGTGTTGAAGAACAGGACATGGAGGAGAAGGATAATATGAAGAAACACTTCGAGCACGAATAACAAATATGCTGCATCTTGTTCAGCCCTATGCAGAAAACCTGTCAGCAATTGCTTTATGTACACATAGCAGACACTGTATTTTTTTGGTCACCATTTCATTTCATGTAGTAAGTGGGGGCCAGAGAGAAAGAGAGAGAGCGCGCCTCAGTGGTCAGGAGTTGATTCCACTTGGCAGACAGACAATACCAAAGACAACTTAGAACTAGGGTCAACAACTGTTTCTGTCTTACTTTTTTCTGGCTCATTTGATTGTACTGCAGTTGATTTCCCCTTTTTCTGCATATGAGATCAGCAAGGAGGAGGCTGGGAGTGATTCCATTTTCCAGTTTACTGTTCGTTTATCCATTATCCTCATTATATTTTCCTTTGTATGCCTTTGCATAGTCCCTTGAACATCTGCACACTGGCTTATGAGGCCAAGCCACAGTGAGACTGCTGCTAAAGTGGACTCTGCTGTGGAAGAAAGATGAAGCTATAACACTTTGTAAACATGATGATGATGACATTAAAAGAGCTATAGTTTAATTTATGGGCCTTAGTTTATATAGCAACATTGTTGTCCTTCAGCACCAGCATGCTGGGTGTAAGATGCTGTTGATGTGACATCCAGTATTTGTGAGACAGATGTTGATGCTGTTCTGTTTCTGATCCTGTTGCTGTTGTCGGAGATCTATAATTTAATTTGTTGACCTTCGGTTGTGTTCAAAGATGTGGTCAAAGATGTGGTCATCTTGTTACTCCACAGCTATAAAACAACTATGCTTTACATCATTCTACTACAAAAACACAAACAAGGAGAGGGGGTCGGATTATGACGAGGAACTGGTCCACATCAATTAAAAGGAACAAATGAAAGGAATTACCTTCCATTTGTCTCTTTGGAAGTTTTGCTCTACAAGACCCTGAAAACAAGATTACAAGGTCCATTAGAAGAGTATATTTCTCCAGCCATCTGATATCTATAACTTTTTATGAACAAGTTCTTGTTTGTTTGTTAGGCTGTGTTGGGATACAGGGACCACATTAGAGCAATCCACAACAAAGAAACACCTTTCAGAATAAATGGCAAAAAAGCATACGTTATCCTTAGGCTAACAGGTAATCAGCTTAACTGAGAAGTAGTGTAATATAGGCATTGTGGGGGTATGCTGCTGTTGATCATTTAGCTACTCACTCTTCCTATAGCATCACTGTGTTGGTATAATGCCCTCGCATGTTGAAAAGTGTTGTCTTTACAATGGAATATTAGCACTTCATTGGTGATGTACTTAGTACCTTAGGTATCACTGAAACACTTAATAGTCTAGGATTAGAATTTTTCTAAAGATTCAGGGCTGTCTTCATTCTGATTAATTCTATAATCATAGTTTATTATCTGATAATTATAGGTCATGGTGTGAATATGTCCCATCTCCCACTGAGAAGGCAGCTTGATTTTTCTAAAACTACTATAGGTTGAGCAGCTAGGCAAAGCAAAGGGTGGATGTAGTATCTTGATTCAGTGTGGCATACAATTTAAATGTACAATCGTGATTCTAAATAGGAGAAGGAGGATACATTTTAACGACATGTCACATACTGTACCATATGTTTTTCAACTCACAGTACCATATAGAATGATGTGCCTTTTCATAATTAAACAAAAAAGTTACGATTGTGTTTCTTTTTCTTGCAGATCACCAGAAATTGGAAAGGGAAGCTAGAATCTGTCGCCTTTTGAAACACCCTAATATTGGTAAGAAAATTTAATCCCTTTATATGGTGTGTGTCAGTACAGAAATTAAGAGAAAATACAGAATAGCTTCATAGAGATGGAAAGTTAAAGGAAACACTTGGCAAGAGAAGGTTCCTTTATACAGTGGAGTTCCTTCCAAACTCATAATGCTCCCCTGAGATGTGATGTCCTATGGGGCGGTCACCTCCAGCCATCCATACTGACTTCATCTCCTGGAGCTCATGTTTGGTGTTTTTGTGATTTGTGTCCCTTTGTTGAAGATGAATATAGAAGAGTAAAACCCTTCCTCTCCTCACCGTTGTGGCCCTGCATTCAAGCATTCACAGTAGAGGCTGACAAAGATTTTGATTTGGGTTGCTTGTTGTCTCGAAAGTGTAAACCAATTGGAACTGATGATAACTTTGTCGGCCACGAAGAATCACACTCTGAGGATACTGAGACACTAGTTTATCTGCCAGCAGTCTCAGTGCACATCTATGAATATATACTTCACCTGAGCCAACTTTAGGCTACCTCAGAAGCCCAGCAACAGAAGTATGATTTTGTCTCATACTCAGTAATGTCTTCTCCCCATTAATAGCAATGTCAACGTGTGAAAAACAAAACAAAACACACGAACAAAAAAACTCAAAAACCACAGCTCAAAATGGAGATTGGAATGACTCAAAAATCTCTCTCAAAATTTCAAACACTTTGTGTTTTCCCCGGAGAGCTCAAAACACTGTCACAGCCAAAAAACAGGAAGTTCAAAGACACAGAGACAGGAGGAGCCTTGCAACTCCCTTGAACATTTTCAAACTTTTTAAAATATTTGGTTAGACAGTTTGTTGCTTCTTTACTGTTCCCAAACCAGTTTGCCCATCCCTTCCATTAGTAAAGCAATGTTGAGGCCAAGGAAGATGATTAAGAAGAAAATCTAAACGGTAATTGCTATGAATTGGGAAGAGCTAAAATCCACAAAGGACTGTTCCATTGAATAGTTTGAACCAATATTATTATTATTATTGTGTGCTGTCCAGCTGTTCTATTAGGGTTATTATAGCAAGCAAACATACAGCTTGAAAACACAGAAGGGTTGTAGTTGTTGAGGAGACACTGTTGATGTTCAATAAGATGGCACAGAGGAAATTCCTTGCTGTGCAACCTACTCTGAAATAGGTAATTCAGTCAATGACTCACACAATAGGGGACACTTTTTCTTCTAATTGGCTGTTCAGTTTCAGAAGGAATATCAGGATTCAGAATCTTATGAGAGAGGCTGTTTGTTTTCATGCTATAGAATCTCCATGAACACTATCAAGTCACTGAAATGTATCTACTCCCCTTTCCCTATAATAGAATATCCTGCTGAGCATGGAAAGTGTGTGACTGCCAGAGAACTAGTTTTATATCCATCCTAAAAGCTCTCAAGTATTAAAGTACCTTGTTTGTACAGCTGAGTGAAGAAGTTTGCTTTTAGGTCTGGTCTCTATCTTGGAGTAAGATCAGAGAGGTAGTTTCAAGAGTAGAAAAAAATCCTGTACATTTACAAAGACTCTGATTTTCAAAAGTAGGAGCCTAAAATTAGGCTTCTAAATCCACATTTAGGCACCTAAATTAGAGGTTTGCACACTTCATTGCTAAAGCAGGCCAAACTGTAAACCCAGCTCTACCCCATGTCCCCTCCCCATAGGTATTTTGAGTACCTGTTTGGCGAGGGGCCTGACTAATGGGAGAGAGAGCCCGTCTGGGGGGACTGGCCAAAAATGGGAAGGGGTGAGGGATCCTGTGAGGGTCAAGCAGACTGGAGTGGGGTGAGGATTTTCTGGTTTTCCACATTACATCAAAATCAATAGGATTCTGCCCAATGAAGCCTAGAATATTCCCTGAAATTTTGGAATTGATCAGATAAAGAGTTCAAAAGTTATTGTACTACATGCAGACAGAAAGGCCATCAAGTTGGAAACAAGGTCTTTCCTCCCTTGACAGATACACAACCTCATTCTCATATGTGCTTAGCTGCCAGCAGCTCCCATGGACGTCAGTCTCTGGGGAGCTGTTCAAATCTTTCGCAAATCAGGCCACTTATTTGGGTGCCTAAATGGAGAACTAGGAGCCTAACTTTAGGGTCCCACTTTTGAAAACTTAGATGCACAGTTTTCTGAAATCATAATATGTGGAAATCCTTTTTTGTGCTCCTGCTTTTTTGGTTTAGCAACTGTTGATTTAAACATTGTTGTCCACATTACTTAAAAGTAAAATTAAATGCTTTAAAATGCATGGGGCATCCAAGTCCCATGGAATTTCAATGTGTGCCTTACTCCTTAGGTAGTTTTGAAAATCCCATTCAAAGATGTAATGTGGATGTGACAAACAGACACTGTAAAATTTTCAGTTTCACTTGCATTTATATTGGCAGCCAATCTTGCTTTTGGGCCTATTATTGACTGAGGTGGGATTTCCAAAAATGCTCAATGTTAGCCTTATTCCGGTCCAATTGAAGTTAATGGTAAAACTTCAGTGGAAAGCAGAGTTAGATTAGTGCTGAGTGCATGATCTTGTAAGTTAGACTAGACTTATGTCCGTAACTGAATATGTAACTGAAGCTGTATCAGTTTAGAACATAAAAAGATATGTTAATGAGGTATAACAACATATATATTGTATGTATGTATGTATGCTAGACTGAATCTTTTCATTTAAAAGGAAAAACTGCTGCCCTATGTACTTATAAATATAAACTCTAGTGGGCAACAGTACCTTCAGCCTATAGCTTTGGACATTACAGCATACTACCAATGAATTTCTTATAAACAGTATAAAAATTCAGTCGAAACACTTTTACTCCTAAAATTCTCTCTTGATCAGCAAGAATATGTGATAGTATCACAATAAAATTTAATTTCTGAAAAGGTTTACAGAACTTACTTTTAGCAAGCTTTGTTATAACTATGAAATATGGTAGTCGTGTGTTAAAATTTACATATGGCAAGGGGTATATTCATGAGTATGAATACATTGTTTTTTTTATGAGCACAAGCCCATTTAATCTGTGAAGGACTATGGGTATATTAAATTTATATTTTCTTCTGCACTTCATTTTTCTCTGTGAGTGATGTACAGCTCATGAATTGATTGTAGCCTAGAAAATAATGGATTCTTTTGAAAAGAAAGTCGTTGCTACAGTAAAAAATCTAAATTAAGGTGCTGAAATGGTTCTTGAAAATGCAATCTGCAGAGAAAAGCAAACATCTATTTTAATTTATTATTTTCCTTCTCATAAGACTACAAACGTTTTTTGTTGTTGTTTTACTTAGGTTGGTTTTTCATAACTTGCAGTTTTTCTGTGAGTTAATTTATGTCTCTGTCTTTCCCTAGTTAGAATTAAATCATCCTTTCTCTTCTCTTTCAGTCCTGGGTAAGTGAGTGGTCTGGTTTTACAGCCTCAAAACTTAAAAACATCAAGAAACAGTTCAGAACAAAAATCCCTTTTATTTTTTTAAAGTTGCTTTTGCCTGTTCTTAAGTGACAGTAACTAAAGTGCCATTTTTTATTGTTCATAGTTCATTTGATTAAATCTCCCTTCTGAAATTGAACTTTTTGTCATAAATATCAACATTTGATTTATTTTTCTAAAACAATTTCTAGACTATATTAAAGTCTGTACAGTTTATTATCTTTCATATTTGTGAGCAAAGCCTTACTGATTTATTTTCTGACCAGATATATGTAAAAAAACAACAGCCCTTCTTAATTGCCTTTCATATTTTTTCTTTATAATCAGATCAAAACAGCAGTGTGTTGATAAAGCAGCCTTTAAAATTCCAGCCTAACCCTAACCCTAACCCTAGAAATACACTGATCATTTTTTTAAATAGAAATAAATGATATTTCTCTTAAAAGGGGACTGATGGAGGAAACCAAAATGTAGACCACTGGCAACATACGAAAGAGCCTTTATTTTTTGCTTATGTCTTTCCACAAAAAATAATTACTGGTGTCGAACCTTTATAGGAGCATTTAATTATCCTACATTACACTTCCAAGCAGATGTTCACCAGGAAGCTATCTGGACAAGCCTATTAATTAATTTAAATTCTGTGGCAATAGAGAAGTGTCTAGAACACGGTTTCTCAAACTTCACTGCACCACGACCCCCTTCTGACAACTACAATTACTAGAAGACCCCAGAAAGGGGGACCGAAGCCTGAGCACCCCCGCCGTGGGGGGGGTGCCGAAGCTTGAGGGCTTCAGCCGTGGGTGGTGGGGCTTGGACTTTGGCTTCAGCCCCGGGCCCAAGTAAGTTTAATGACAGCCCTGGTGACCCCATTAAAATGGGGTTGCGACCCACTTTGGGGTCCCGACCCACAGTTTGAGAACCGCTGATCTAGAATTAAACTTCTTCCTCATCAACTTAAATATGTAGTTTAGATTTCCTGAAAATGTGCGTCTCCCCTGCCTCTACATGAGGCTGTGTTCATATAAGGATCTTTTCTGGCTACGAACAGGAGCTACATCTGAGCACTCCACTGCTGCTGACATCCCGATCTATTCATTGCACAGCTAGCAGTATCTGTTCTTCTTCAAGTGCTGGTCCCTATGTGTATTCCACTGTAGGTAGGCATGCGCTCAATGCATCTGGAGCTGGAGAATTTTGGAAGTAGTGCCCGTTGGTCCACACGTGCCCTCAGTCTCCTTGTGCATCTGACTGAGGAGTGGGTCGGACCAACTACCTCTCCAGTTCCTTCTCGAGTCTGGGTCGGAACCTCCAGTGTCCAAAGCTTCATCTTTATTCCTTTATCTGTAAATAGTTTTAGAAATATTATGTATTATGTTCTGATGCAGTACAGAGCACCTTTTCTGAGAAGGATTCCACTAGAAAATGCTATTTTGCCAAGTGAAGACATTTTTCTGTATGGGCAATCAAAGACTTATAGCCCCATCAGTTCTCTTATTTTGGACTATATTCTTACCCGAAAGATAGCAGGCTTGTCCATGAGCTCCTTATATGTCCACTTGGC